TAGAACGCCCAATGTAAAAAAATGCTTGGAAACTACAACTGATGCGCAGACACCTAAACGTGATACTGATGACATTTTCTGTACTCTGTTCTTAGCCAGCCATAGAACAATTACATATATTGGAGTGGCCACATGCTTTATTTTGATCATTTTGTGTCAAGTAATAAGTGCTAAAAACATACCCATTAATCAAAATTTCCCATATACTTGGAATCAATGCCAAATTTGAGGGAAGGGAAAGACAAAAAAAAAAGAAAAAACTGCTGTTTTTTTTTTGCTGTAATTTATTACTGAAATCTTTGAAGCATACAAGGAAGAGCAAAGACTTCTCTAAAATAAAGCAGGTTTGGTCTCCTAAAACCTAAGGAACCAAATTCAATATACAGGTCTGATCAGTATGAGGGCATTGCCATGCCACACTCTCATATAAAAAAAAAAACTTAAAACAAAACAATCATTTTCTCCTGCATTTTTCTCCTCAAAATTTGAATAGAGAGCCTTGGATCTCTGAGTGATGTGTAATTAAAATTATAAAATTATTTTTTAAAAATCCTCCTTGACAGGCTAAGGCTTAGCCAAAATGTAAATGACATTAAAGAAGACAATGAATTTAATTTTATTTAATGTCCCTTTTTGCAGATCCTCATTTACATAGCATTTTTAACAAAAGCATTGACCTTATAAATGCTGGCATTTGTACAGCTTCCGCAGTGTTGAATTTAATCATGCTTTCACAAACCCATCAGGGAGAACACAGTAAGTTCTCTGGTTGGGTACGGAGTAGGAATTATAAAAAAAAATTGTATAAAAATAAAAAAACATAGGACCGGTCAAATGTTTACCCTACTTACTTCAAAAAAACAACCTAACACGAACAGTGCAAAAAAGGTCTGGGGAATAGCCCATCGCTGTTTGTGAGGCTCAGTGATAATCATACATAATCATTTGGAAATATAGCTAATAAAAAATATAATGAGTGCTCAGCAAAATCGGCATTAGGCCCAAATTACATGATATTAATACTAGAACAGGTGCAGAAAGGCGCTTTAAATGAGGTAAATGAATAAAAGGTCCCAGAGCACAACTGTGTGCACTGACAAAAAGTCAATCACATGAATAATTCAGTGACTGGGGCTGCCAGCAAAGGTCAGCTTTCTATGACCTTTGAGACAGGAAGTGAAAGGAAACACTGTTGGCTACAAAAACTCCAATCATTCTTTGGCTACTGTTCAACAATTACAAAATATGTAACCCAGCAAAGCAAAGAGGGGAAGAAATAATAATCAATACGGTCAGGAATTTCTACAATTCATGGTGTAAAAAATTTGTTTTAAAGAATCTTCCTTTTTTTGGTTATATATAAAACAAGAAAAGGACAAAAATTCTACATTCCTTAATACAAAAATTGCCAACTATGCATTTTAGGCCACATAGCCTTACAACCCTACCAGGTTGAATTTTAGCAGCAGCTGTTAAATATGACAAAAGTTGTTGTTTTTTTCCCTTCTTTCCCTCTCTCTCTTTCTCTCGATCTCCCCCCAAATCTCAAGCTTTTCCAACTGTGTATGAAAGAAAATGGTTTAAACAGATGTCTGGCTTACATACAGGAAAGTAGGACACACTTGGAATGATAAGTCTACTAAACTCTATAGAATAATGCCAAATTTATTTGGAGAAGGGGGGCATTTACTACCCAGAGAGATGCCAACCAGCAGTAGGACTGTGATGGCACCATCTGGAAAAGTGTTGCAAAGCATGCTATTAGGAAACACAGTAAACACAGTGGCCAGTGTCGAGCTGCCATTGCTTCTCCAGTTTGCTGTTTCATGTTTTCATAGTAATGTAATCCCTGCCTCCCACTTTCTTCCTCCACAATCAGTCTTTTCAGTTCCCAACAGTCAGAAACTAGGTCCTTGTGTACAAAGAAGTCAAACAAGGGGAGAGAGAGAGAGAGAGAGAGAGAGAGAGAGAGAAAGTAGCTGGAAAGGGAAAGGAGCTTACCAGGAATTTCTATAGGTTGCAGTAAAACATGCTATGCAATGGCCAGAAAAGAATTATTTCATCTCGTAGTGTGGTTTTGGTTTAAGAGTCACAGCAGAATCCGGTAATCATTCACAGCCATAGGAATGCATCGGTGAAACTGGAGAGATTTATCTGTTCATAGCTGTGATAGGTAGACAATGGGTGTTCCAAAATGAGGAACATCTGCTTTTGTGTTTTCCAAGAAAACATTATTCCACTACGAATCTGATACTCTCATCCATTTCAGAAATACCACAAAGAAAATATGACCAGCTCCTCTCTTTTATTCCTGAATTATTTTATTTTTTTCAACTTGGTATATAAAAAAAAAAAAATTCCAACAGATTTTTATTCCTTTTGGTCAAATCATTTCCTGTTCTGCATTTGCCTAAGTGTCCACGGCGCGTTTTTCAAAATGCAAAATGACAACTTTATTAATTTGTTGGCATTGCTCAACTGCTGATCTGTCACAACTGGGGTAGTCAATGCTGGATGACGGTTGACGAAATGACACGTGGAAAAATAAAAACATAAGCTTGCATGATTATTTTATTTAATGTGCATTACTGTCTGGGCCGTTCAGATGACTGGAAGTTGCAAGTGAAGAAGTATCTTTTTGAAAAACATCCAAAAGCTAGAACTATCTAATGAGATAATTGTCAATGCTTCCCATTAAAAACCATCAACTAGCCATGTGGTTACAACTGCTTATGGAAACTGTAAATTGACCAAAATAACTGTAAATGCTATTACTAGCAGATTAATAAAAAATTGACAATTTTGAAAGGCGTGTAGGTCACTGTGTTAGGACAAGCAATACATTTCATTAAGAACGGGAAAGACTCCCATATCCTATTTTATACAGATTTCACTTCTAAATTTATTCTAAATGTATTTTTCTTTTACATTTAAAATACTTTCATTTTTATTTTCAGTTTCGGCCTAGGATATCATGGGTGGGCTACGACTTCCATGCTAACTACGCAGAGAAAAAAAAAGTAGAGAAATAATATTTTGTCACTTTTAAGTGACAGCACTTTTAGCAAGCTAAAGATAATTCAGTTTTCCATTGAAATACACACTTCATGTTCACATCCAATATGAAGCAAATGACTGAAATACCTATAAAATTGTCATATCTTTAAATTTAGAAGCAAAGCAGATTTTCCATCAATAATTAAGATCTCCAAAGCATTTATGAGAGGCGCAAATGGATTCAAATAAACATGGAGAAGCCATTAACTAAATGTTTCTTTGATTTTTTTTTTTCTCTCACTGATGCTTCCAGAATATCAAATTATAAGGCACTTGTCTAAAGTTACAAATAAATTTTCAATCTGCACTTGACAAACCTCAATACAATGATAATCAGTCGTGTAATTCCATCTATATATGCTATCTGGCGTTATCGCACTTTATCCTAAGTGTATCAGAAAAAATGATGGCATGATTTTTAAGGGGAGGCGAATCGGAATGCAAAATAAGTCCAGGAATGGTAAAAATAAGACATAGGACCTTTAAAAAATATATTTTTAAATAAGTCTTTATTAAGAGCTTAGAAAAAAATAGATATTAAGCTTTTAAAAAAGGAAGCTCTGGAAATGTTTAAGCAGTAGTATTTTAATCTGCAAATATCATAACATTCTGTTGTTATGTTTTATGCTGCATTATTAAAATCCCACTGCCTAACCAAATACAGCAGAAAAAAAAATCAAAAAATTATTTACCCAAATTTTACAGCATTTCAGCGCCAAAGACAAACAGTTTTTGTTCCTTTTTTTTAATTTTTTTAGTTAGGATTCCATGAAGTGTTGAACTTGTTCCTAGTTGTCTGCCATAAGCCCAGAGTGGCAGCAACAACTGGTCAAGTCTATTTGATTACTAATAAGAGAGTTGTCCCCTTCTGTCAGATACCGAACATTCCCCACTAAGCAAACAGATACGCCGCCTAGTTAAACATTAGCATTACTCTCCACTAGTAGTTACATATTTCTAAAGGCTTCCTGGGACTTCTCCAGATTTAATTTTTCATTTAATAGATAGCAAAGTTCACCATGAAAAAAAAAAAAACATGCATTTGCAACGATAGCCACCAAATCACAAAACCCCCACAGCCAAAACACCAGATATTTCCCGTTTAAATAAACAAATGTTAAATTCACATGGCCCAGATTGGGCACCACTGATGAAAATCACTGCCAATCCAATCGACTTAAAACCACATGATTGGTTCAACGTTCGAGGGGGTTAAGCCTCGCAAACCTCACTTGACCATATCACAAGCAACTTTCTATCTCACGCATGTTTTGGGTTTGTCTTTTAGAACAGAGAGGAGAACAAAAAAAGAAAAATCAATGAAATAAATCTACAGACTACATAGGCCTGTTACATATGCGTAAACGTACTTCAGGAAATGCAACCAGCGTGTGCAATCAGTTTCAATTAAACCAAGTTTGGTTTGTTAGTTACCTATTGGCTCTGCAAGGCAAAATGACAGCTACAATTGAGGGGGGAAATTAGAACGCATTCAAAACTTAATTGATGGCAGATTAAATTAATTTTAACATTGGACAATCAAACGCAGTACCCTGCCACCCAGGCCTCGGTTGGGGGCAGCGCCACAGAAAAGAAAAAAAAAAGAGAATTAAACACTTGTTAACAAATTAGCAAAACGTATTCTCTGACATCCCTTCTACTTTAAAAGCCAAAACTCTCTAGGCAGAGGAGCTCATCGCAGCGAGAGGCGAGGCAGATGAAACCGCTTCCCCAGACAACTCACAAGCAATTATCGAATCCCTACAGAGTAAGGCACCGGGTTTCCAAGTCAACCCACCTGTATACAGTAACAGAAGAGGACAACAAGCAATGCAATATACAGAGCCAACCCCTATCCCTGCCTTGAAAATCGTGGCCTGGCCTAGTAACAATGTATGGAGAATATAAAAGGAGGAAAGGAGCAGGAAAAAAAAGGTGCTTACCTGTCGATGATAACTGGGTCTGATGGGGTTTCGTTTCTGTTACCACAACTTTTTTTGTCACAGCATCGACTGTAAAAAAAATAATAAAATAAAAAAAAACAGCCAAAGTTAAATTTTTTTTACAAAATAAAAAGACAATACAAAATAATAATAAATCCCTACTTTAATTTTATTTGCTCATCATACGCTCAGTATGCAAACATTGGATTTGCTCAGGCACATACCCGGGAAAGAAATAGGCCGCGGGCCCGAAACTTCCCCCGGCCTTTTTCGCTCTCACAGGTAACGCAAACATTGACATCGCCTCGTCACCGGCAGCGCAAATCCTGGCAGCTGACACGGCGCGGCGTTTTGGGTTTTTTTTGTTCCTCTGTGGCAAGGAAAAAGGCGGCATTTTGGGAATAACTTTTTTTTTCACAGCTTCTGCTTTTGTTTACCTCTAATTGTCAAGCTGTTATTTTCTGGAAAAGATGCAAGATGCAACCCTTCAACCAATATTTCTTTTGGGCATTTATTAATTATGAGCACAAAAAGCCCGGGTGCCTCCATCAGAAGAAATAAAACAACTTCTATTGTTCCCGCTTTAAGCCCACCTTAACGCCATTATTGAAACTTTAATTAAAGCAGAAATTAAACAAAAATGTTATGCTTCTTGCATTTTAAAAAAAGCATACTTGTATAATGGTTACATGTCTAAATTAGCTAAATTAACACCATATGGTAGGCAAAGTATATAAAGCCTTTTAAAGCTGACAGCTAAAGTGATTAAAGAAAAGTCTACACAGTCTTCCACTCACAGCTTAAATCACATCTGTGCACTTTCTATGTTAATTGCAGTACATGCAGAAGTGGATAATAAAGAAATTCCACTTTATTGGTTGTAATTTATATTTATTACCTGATATGAGAAAAAGTCAGCTTTTGTATATTAGGGCTGCAACAATATGTCTGCTCAGAAATGGCATTTAGGCAATAAGCATAATAGCAGGGAGGAGGATGCCCCTTAGAGTACGAGGCTTGCTACTGTAGCCCAGGCTACGGTGCGGAAATCCTCTCCTATTTTACATGCCACACATAGAAAGTCAATGATCAGGGAAGAGGTTAAGTGACAGTATCAAAATCCAATTCTCACATACATGAGCTCTATAATAAGTACAAAAGACTTTCCATTTTTATCAATAAAAAAAAAGACAATTGGATAGCTCGAGGAAGGCTGAGCTTGGGAAGGGGGAAGCAGCACACCAGTGCAAAAAAAAATAATAAAATAATATAAATATAAAAATAAAATGCAGGCTGATGTCTTAACTCCTATGGCATCGATGACAGCTCCGCGCAGCTACGGACTGTTTTCATTTTTTTAATAAATCGGAGTCACACCGGCAACATATTAATCTGCCTGTCTGCAGGATTATCCTAGACAGCTACGGAAACTACAAATCAATTGCATGCAAAAAAAAAAGAAGACTACACTTAATAACTAAAAATATTAAGCACATGTTATTTTTTTTAATAAAAAAGGTAGAAAAATAATGATCTAGTCATATAACAGCCACAGAATTAACCATGCATGACATGCCTATAAATAAAATACTGATAGATAGATAGATAGATAGATAGATAGATAGATAGATAGATAGATAGATAGATAGATAGATTTGCATGCCAATATAAATTTACACACACACACACACACACAAATAAATACAAAATATATCATTGATTTTTGTTACATTTGTTTCTTTATGCAGATTCTTTGTTTTTACACACTTTGCTTTTGTTACAGGAATATTATTATTGTTGTAAATTCCAGGGACACGTCCTCTTTCTATTAGGGTCAGTTAGCAGTAATTGGAGGGTCAGGCAGTTCAGAGGCACACTAATGATAATAAGGTGGTAGGGGGAGGCGGGAATCTCCAGCTGTCAGGGCATGCTGATACTTGTTGTCCCATCAGCTGTGTTGGAGCTCTTACCTGCACATGATCTCGTGTGTGAGCAGCACTCTGCACATCTCCGGGTTCTTGTCTTGACCCTCGTAGATAATTGCCTGCACAAAGTAAAATCAATTAGTAATGTGCCCCAAATGGCGGCCATTGCCCCGGGCTGCACCCCGCTGCAGGTGCAGGGTCGCGCCCCCCCCCCATGACTGATGACACGCCGGACACTCGCCGGCTACTGCTTGCTGGCTGACCACACCGCGGCGGTGCGGTGCTCCGGCTTGCCTGTAGGGGGCAACAGAGAGCAGCCGGGGGGGATCCCCGTGTATGTGTATGCCCCCTGCTCTGAGCACGCCCAGCAGCCGGAGAAATGAGCCCTGCACACCATTAACCTCCAGATTATGAGACCATTACCGGTGTCAGGGGATCATTAACACCAGCAGAGGGATGCAGAGGGGACACAGATACTAAGTACACCCCCTGTCATTTCATTCTCCATGGGGCATATTGGAAACATACAGATTAACTACACCCCCTGTCATTCACCTCTCCATGGGGCTGATAGGGAACATACTGTCTATACTAACTGCACTCCCTGCCATAGGGAGCATATATATTAAATGCACCCACTTTCATTATAAGGAATGTATATGCTAACTGCACCCCCCTGTCATTACAGGGAACATATATATTAATTGCACCCCCCTTTCATTATAGGGATCACATATATAAACTGTACCCCCTGTCATTTACCTTTGTATGGGGCGGAACCACACACCCTCAGTACACCCCCTGTCTTTATCATCTCCATGGGACATGTAAGGGACACACAGATAACCCACTCCCTGCCAGAACCAGATTTCCCTAAGCACCCTGTCACAATATTAACCTATGCAGTGCTACAGCTGTTCCCAGTACCCCTTGTCACAATTTTAACCCATGCAGTGCTACAGCTCTCATCAGTACCCCTTGTCACAACTTTAACCCATGCAGTGCTGTAACTCATCCCTAGTACCCCCTTTTCACCACTTATGTACTACTGCAGCTTTCCCCATTAGCCCCTGTCTTCATCTTAACCCATGCAGTGCTGCAGCTCACCCCATTCTTCCGTGTCACAATATTAACCCATGCAACCCACAACCACTGCTTCCTGTCAGGATATTAATCCATCTCTACAATTTGCCCACACCTGACTTGGCGGAACAATTATGTAGCAAGTGGCCCTTTTGCTCTCTTTTGGCATATTAACCCATACACATCTGCAAATGACCCTTATTACTCTCCAATAAAACATCAGCCCGTGCAATGCTGCAACAGACCCCATTACCCACTGTTAACATTATTAACCCATGCACTACTGTATTTGACCTCATTACTATTATCACTGCCAGTGCAATAACCCGTGCAATTCTGGAAATTACCCAATTATTCCCTGTCACAACATTAACCCATGAATGACCACACTGCAATCTGTGGGAATGTTAACCTCTAAAATGTTGTATTTGATCAACATACTATACTTCCTGTCATGGGGTGTG